TTCTGTGGAAAATCACTGCTGCACTCCATAACACCAACTTCAAAAAGCCATGGGTATGTGTAAAACATTCCTGACCTACTGACTCATTTATCACCAACTAGAATTTGGATGTTTGTTTCTAATGCCACCTACTATAGAGCACCTGCCACAATGACCCATATAAAGTGCAACCCACCCCAACTTTATGGATCAAAATCTTTAGCACTTATGGCAATTTTCTTTTGGGTACAAAAGCCAGTTATTGCCAGGCGTGATGGCACACACCAGTAATCCCAGGACGCAGGAAGCTGAGGCAGGAGGATCACTGCAAGTTCCAGGCTAGCCAGGGCTAGTCAGTTTAAGGCCAGCCTGGACTACATAGTAATAGTAAGACCCTGTCTCAAAAAAAAAAAAAAAAAAAAAGGGCCAGTTATTTATTCATTGTCAACAACACAAATATGCTTCTTTTAAAATTTAATAGTGAAAATTACTTATTATACACTTTTCACTTAGTTATTCCTATTCTGCATATTTACTACTATCCAATGGAAGCACTTAAAGTTCTGCTGTGATTGTTTTGTTGTTTTGCGTTTCTGAGACAGAGTCTCGCTATGTAGTTGGCCTTGAACTTTGTAGCCCAGGTGACCCTAAACCTTCAGCAATCCTCCTGCCTCAGTCTCCTCAGTGCTGGGATCACAGGCATGCACCACCACACCTGGCTCTGCTGAGACTGTTCATACTCTGTACATTTACTAGTACACAGTGAAAGCACTTAACCAAAGGACCAAAGTTCTAATGTCTATGGCAAATACAGTTCAGAGCTACTGCTATGGGAAAAAAGATGTGAACTGTAAATGGGACTGTAAGTTAGGAACTGAATTATAAAGCCCTCTGTTACAATCACAAACAGTATAACATTCAGTAAATAGTAAATAGCAGAACATTCTGTGGAAAATCAGTATAAATTTCAGGTGCAGTTCACTGAGCCCACAAATACAAAATGGCTTCCCATAAAAACAATTTCTAAGGAGATTCTGCTGACCTTGTCACAAAAGCAGCATGAGTAGGTGGGCTACTTGTAGTGCACCTGGTATGTCAAAATGTGCACGTGTGTCCTGTGTGTATGCGGAGAGATGACGTGGAAAATGGAATAAAGCTCAGTCTCACTGCATTTTGTACTACTAGGTAACATTATACCACAGTTTATAAGTTTTGCTATGAAGTTTCTTTACTCCAAAAATTAGACAGATTAATGTTGGAAATTCTGTAATTAAGTAGAATTGACAACAGTTACAATTTTAATATATACATATATATATATATAATTTTACATTTTACAAAGTTATTAAATATACATTCATGTTGATGCCCTGAAAAAAAAAACAGATTTAACTTCTTTTGCCCTCCCATTTCCCCTCCATCAAACAGTGCTAAGGAACACTTAATCAGGAAAGGTACTATAAATACATCAATCTGTATAGCACCACAGAGTCAGTGGGAGGAAGGCGGCCTTTGAAGGAAGGAGAAAACCCTGTTGTTAAACATAAGGAAATCCCAGGGGTCACAGGAGAGTGAGGCAACACAAGGGGCAGGTCCTGCTCACTACAGAAAATGGGGGCACACACCCTATGTGCCACATTCTAACATAAGACCACATGTGAAGAGGTGAAGTTGAACTTTTGAACTCTGCAGTTTCTCAGAACATAAGCATCTGACCACCAAGTGTGGTTTCTGAATGAACTGGGTTCAAAATGCATCTGGTTGCCAGAAAAGGCTTCCTCAACTCATCTTATAAATTTAACAAAGGTCATTTGAGAAGCTACAATTTTACACAGTGGTGGTATTCCAGGGAGCATCTATTCCATCAACCAAGTTTAATGTCTTACAATTGTGCAAAAGGAGCTTCCGAGCAGGGACGAGGACTACCGATGGAAAGCCGACACTTGGGCCATCTCTTGGAGATTCCTGCTGAAAGTACTGCAAGTGTTTCTCCAGAGAAAGCACTTGCCTGGGTATGACTCAGAGCTGGGCAGGAATTCACACAATGAATCCGGGTGGTAGGAAGACGAAGAAGTATGCCTATAAAGATCAAAGAGCCAGGAATGGAAAACACACTAAAAACCTTTCCAGTGGGCAGACTTCCTCCCCACAGTTAAGATGACCAAGTGAATCCTAAGTGTAATCAAGGAAACAGAAATGTTCTGCACTCCACCAATATAGGCAAAGCATAATGAAAAAAGAAAGAAAAGAGTAAGTACATATAAACTCTTACAGAAGCAGAGATAGGACAGAGAGAGAAAGAGAGACGGAGAGACAGAGGGAGAGAGAGGAACAATGCTATTACCAAGGAGGCTACCAACAACTCCCTGCTGGCACTTGTCAAATGCATTATAAGTACCTAACTCTAGCTGCCTATTGTACCATTCAAAATGACAAAGGACAGACATGGTTTAAAGATTTTTTTTTGTTTTTCTGGTTTTTTTGAGACAGGGTCTATGGACATCAGGCTGGCCTTGAACTCACTATGTAGCCTAGGCTGGCCTCAAACTCACAGTGATACTCCTGACTCAGCCTCCCAAGTGCAGGGATTACAAACATGTACCACTATGCCCAGCAAGAATTAACCCTTTTGTATGGGGTAAATGCCTGAGACTTCTTCTACCCTGTGGGTGGTTACTTGGGTTCACCATCATGATAACAATGAAATGTACTTATAGTGAGTCATACTATTAAATCAAGTTTCTCAAATTTACTTGTGTGGAGATGAATCTGGGGATCTGAAGAGGTAGGAGACTATTCAAAAAGGGTTTCAGTCACTTTTAAAAAAGCATTTCTTCTTAGGAAAATGGGAAACTCTCACAAACAGGACAAAGATACCAGAGAAGAAAGAGCCTGGCTGGGGCTGGGAAAGTACTCTATAGAGTCTCTTCCAAACCAAAAAAAAAAAAGAAGAAGAAAAAGAAAAAGAGACGGTGAGAACTTAAGCAAAGCACGAGCAAGTTTCTCTTTGCTAAAAGGGAACAAACAGATGTCTCCAAAAGCAGAAAATATGAACTTAGGACAAAGAGTAGAATGTCTCCTCTTGATACTCCCAAGCAACCTTAAATATCCTTTCCAGAGGAGATGTCCTTAAAGATAAGAGGATTCACAAGTTCTAAGACCTGAAATCTGAGCCATACTTTACTAACCTTCTCAGAGACTTCACATTTACTCAGAAACAAGTAAAGAAATCCAAATAGGTAAATTGAGTTATAAGAATGTCCTTACCCAGTGAGACCACGTTCCCATAATTCTCTAACATCACTTCTCTGTAGAGGTCCCTCTGAACAGGGTCGAGGCATCCCCATTCCTCTCGAGTAAGGTACACAGCCACATCCTCGAATGTCACAAACTCCTGAAATAACACATCCTGGCTGCTCTGGGGAAACGAGGCCACTGTAGCACCATGGCCAGGAGATGAAGATGACAGAGAGAGTTTCCAGTGTGTATTTATGTTGGGGAAGATGAAGAACAGATTAAAATATAGGGAGTTGATCCCACAACCCTTAAATATCTAGTTAAGTGCCCATCACAGCACCATGGACAAGGAAGATTTGCTCATGGTGTCAGGGAGATGGGAAAGTGGTTTGTGTGATGTACAGTTCTCCGAAGAGAATCAATTCCCAAACTGGTATCTGCTAGTGAAAAAAATTCTAGATAAGGTTTAAGAAATGGACTGAAAGAGAGGCCACACTCAATCAATAGCAAAAGTCCCTGAAGAAAAGCAGAGGGTTCCTCAGCTCACCTGGTACCTGGCTGTCAGGAGTGCAGCTGCCTGGTCTCCTGGGCTTCCCTCGTGGGGAAGAGCAGGCACCTGGGGAACAGGTGGAGCTGAGGGAGGAGAAAGGATCAAGAGTAAGAGCAGCCCTTCCACAGGGCTCCCTTCAAAAGGCCTCTCCAGCCCAAGGGCTGTTAGTGGGACCCTCTTTCACATCAATATTCTACTAAAACCAAGGAATATATATCAGGTATTGCATAGCTCTACTATGTCCCTCCTTAGTACTTGCATGACTACCTTATGCGTGTTTAGGCCCATGACACAGGATTTTATTAGGAAATCTCCTTTTTCACTTTATCCACATAACCTGACACTGTTATCACAGAAAGGTAAGTACTGTCCCTGCTCTGTGATGGGCAAAGCATAAAGATTTGTAGTGACTTATCAAGACCAGAGTTATTTAGTAGACTTCTAATAGTTTCCCAGACATGGTTCTATAAACTCCATTAAGTTTCTGTCTTACAAATAGGCACTGTCTCAGCAATCAGTGTGTAAGGCTTCCAGGGATAAGGAACAGACATCTGTTTCTTCGCAATTCTTTCCACATTCCCACAATGTCCCCACAGCACCCTACACACCATGGCACTCCTCCTGTAGTGCTGACACACAATTATTTCTGACCCCAGAGCTGGCCACAGCAATCTAAGAAAACAGTCCTTAACAAATTTGAAAAAAAAAAAAGAAAAAAAAAAAACTGGCTAACTTATCTATACACGGCATTAAGTGACTCTATAGTAAATGATCCCTTTCAAACAGGCATTGTGTTCAAACAAGGAATTAAACTGTTGCTTTCTTGACCAAAACTAAATTAGTCACAAACACTGCAATTGCGACAGAATGGCAAGTGGCAAAGCAGCAGTTCTCAAGGAAAGAGATACTAAGTGAAGCCAACAAGGGTTGGGAAAGGTCCTAAATCTAAGAGGAGGTGAGAGCCAAGCAAGAATTATGAGATGTGGCAAAAGCAGCATAGCTCAGAAATTATTCTAGATGTGGTAACTGGGATGGAGTGAAGGTAGTCTGAAAGACATAAAGCCACAGAGTGAGTGACTAATTAAAGATGAACCGTCCTAAACAGAGGGGCCCTGCCCAGTCCTCCCTCTGGGGGCCATTTTCTTTTTCAAGTTGCTGACCTCATCATAGCAGGCAGGTGGAGGAGCCCCTCTAAGCTCCCATTCTCCTAGACACAAGTGTTTCTCTGCCTTACCCCCAGTGAGTCCCTGCTCCATGTCGGTGTCCTGCATGAACTGAGGTTCTGGGGAAAGACACTCAGACTGGGTCTCCAAAGACTGAAACTGGACCCTTGGTGATCCTGTGGCTTCTTGGGCTGCCAGTTCCTCCATCCCTGTTCTGGAGAACAATGACCATCACTGCAGGGTGAGATTAGGAGAAATGATTGGAATAAGATAAAAAAAAAAAAAAATCACATTACTTCATATCCTCAGGACTTAAGAAAATATCTTACATACTGTAGACACTCAATAAAAGCTCATTAACAATGATTAACCACCGAAAATAAACAACAGAAAGGAACATAGTTATTATTCAACTTCAAATATTTCAGATCCAAATCATCAGGTCCAAGTATGCAAGTTTATTTGAACTCCACTAATTCAGAATTTGTGGTATTTAAAAAAAAATTTGTTAGGCATGCTGCACACACCACCTATAATTCCAGCACTGGGGAGGCTTAGGCAGGCGGATCACCAAGATCGAGGCTGGTCAACTACACAGCAATTAAAAAAAAAAAAAAAAAAAAAAAAAAAAA